GCACTTCAGAAAGCACTGATTTTAATTTAAATTACTGTTATCACAGATCAAGAATTATTTCATTATCTTTGATAGGTATTTCTCGATACAGATAATATTGTCATCTGAATTGTAACTGCATAACTACATTACAAATATGTATGGAAACATATTGTTTGGTTTATTTAATAAGTCTAAATATTATATGAGCTATTCTTTGATTATTGCTATTGCTTTGTTTCCAGTAGCTGATTGGCTACATATTATAACAGGTTATTAACCTTCTTTGACTTATTCTGCATGCAATACAGATATAAAAGCTAGGCTACCCCTAGATTACTGCCTCCTTTTTCCAGGCATCCAAAGCACCCAGTCGCCCTGGCTGACAAAACAATCTGCCCTGCCCACATCAGAGAGAGATATCCTCCTCCACATAAATGAGCTGAAAACTGAAAGAGTCTCTAGACAAAGCTGATGTAACTGGACGCTGTAAAGGAAATGGCTTCCCGTCTCCCAGATGCCTCATTCAGCTTCCTCCTGTCTCCTACATTCTGCTAGAAATCTCCTGTTTATTGGGAGGGCGGGGGGGAAGGAGGGGTTGTGTGTAGTGAGCACTGCCAGCAAGCAGATTGTTCTGCAGGGAGATGGTCTTGGTGGGGAGAGTGCAGCTCGTGCTGGGATTGCTGTCAGCACCGGGAGCCCCATTGAGAGTCAGAAGAAGTCGGTGGTGGTGGTGTACAGGGCTCCAATCCCAGGCAATCCAGCATCACATCCTTTGACCCCAGCTGACTTCCTGCCCCTGGGCCAGGGGGCTGGACTTGATGATATTCCAAGGTCCCTTCCAGCCTTAATATCTATGAAATCTATGAACATTTCAAAAGATCTATTTTTTTTTATATTTAAACAAAGATTTTACTCACTATAATCTTTTGACATCCTGATTTCAAAACACTACAGACAAAGTTGATAAGACTGTACAAAATATATACACACACCTCAGGGATCCAATGACAGCACAAACTCCTCAAGCTCTTGGCTAGCATGCTATCATTCAAACCCCTTGGTGTTTGAACCCCCTATCATTTGAACCCCTTGGCTATATAGCCTTTATAGTTCAGTAATCTGTGTAATAGGTTGGAAGATAATTCATCTCAGGTTGGTAATGACAAAAACGTTACCATCTGAAGGCTATTTGATGGCCTGTGTGAAATGCATTTTAAATCTCAGTCTGTTTACCAGTGGAGCTGCATGTTGACCAACAAAGCTGTCTTGGTGGGCTAACAGCCCACCTTGGTGTGCTATGTACTGTCATATAGCAGGTCCAAGTTCAGCACATAAATGGGAATCCCCATGCTAGTAGGGGATGGGAATACTAAAAGAGCTATTCCATCTAATTTCTTATGTGAGGCTGGTTGGAGAGATCCTATCTGATCATCAGAAAGCGAGGCCAGTGAGTTCCATGAGGCCTTATAATGATGAATTTTAGAAGTAGCTGTGGATTTCTTCTCCAGCTCAGTCAAAAGTTAACTGTCTTTTTCAAATGGGTTTGCATTCACTAGCTCCTTTACAAAGAAAAACCATGAGGAAAAAATATTTCAGAATTCTTAATACTTTGAGGGGAAAAAATAACATGATTCAGGCCCTGTTATATACAAACAATAAGCTAACACACTCTGAACTGGAACTACAGGCTGGTCTCTGAGGGCACCTGCACGCATGCATCAAGGCTGCTCTAATGCACTGTAATTAAATCGAGTCTGCTGGAGCCTGGTAATTACTGCGCTCCAGACACTCCAGTGCCTTGTGTATCGCCATCCCCATGCTGAAAAAAGGCAACAGGGGCACTTTAAGTAAAGCTTGTTCAAAAGCTTTAATTAAAGTGCCCCACCACCATTTTTAAGTGTGGGGATCCTGAAACACAAGACTCTGTGAGTGCTTTAATTCGAGCAACTCTCAGAGCCACTCTAATAAGTGCCCCCCCTTCCCCCAGCACATATATAAACATCCTGAGAAAGTCCATTTTCATTAGTGTATTTAAAGCACTGGTAATGTTGAAGATAAGAAGCCAAAGTCTCCTGTCAAATAAACCTCTGCAACTCTACTAACCTCAAAGCAACTGAGGGACAAGACTATGATGTATAACTTTTGAAGTGACTTATTCAATTTCCAAAAGAAGCCAAAAACATCCCATTGTTGTTTCACAAAGTCAGATTAATGCTCAACTTAAATAGAGAACAGAATGGAAAGCTTTATGCACAGGAACACAGCTTTCAGAACTGTAACCATCGCAGACTTAAATTAACTGTGAAAGGCCTTTCAGCATTTCTTTAAAGGTATGTGTGAATGGGAGCAATTTACTCACTTGCCTCAAACACTCACACTTCCTAGGGAAGTGGTCCTCGTTCCTACCTTAGGTAAATTAAAAAAGTTGGACGAACACCTGTCTGGGGTCGTGTGATCCCAGCGTGTGCTCCTGTCAGTGGTGGGGGGGTCAGACTAGATGATCTGTTCAGGTCCCTTCTGACCCCAAACTACTATGAAACTACTATGAAACTCCCCAGCATGGAAAGACAGGACACAGAGAGTGGGATGATTGATGAGTATACTCCTCCCTGCAACCTCCACTTCCTTTTGGGCAGGTCAGCCCCTTGCAGAGACCAGGAGATCATGGAGACTGCAATTATTACAAACCATGGGAAGGCTTCTTGTACCTTTCCTCTCATTCTTGTTTGTGCACATAACCAATATTACCATAAATATATTACCAAGCAAAGTCAAGCAACTGGAAGACTACTTCTTGTTAATTAAGACGGACAAGGTTCTTTGGGTGAATCTGATATCTTTTATTAGACCAACTTAAATAGTTGGAAAACAATTATTAAGCAAGCTTTCAGGTTCAAAGTTTCCTTAGCCTGACCCTTTGTCAGGCTAAGGAAGCTTCAGCAGCTGGTGTGTACTCTTCCTGGATGGGATGGAAAGTAAAGAA